TAATAGAAAAACTGTTTTACGAAATACTAAAACAAATTATCAACTGTTCCGGAACACTGACAACCGAAACATTAGATTAACCTTTGTAAAACGTCATCAAGCCAAGTTGTAATACGGTAAATTTTAATGTTTGTGAAACGATATCAAGCAAAGAACTACGCAACCTACAGTTCAGTTTAGATCATGAAAGTTTCTTTCATTTTGTTATTTCACGATCTAAACATAAATATATAAATAAAAAACATTTAATTTAGGTTATGTTACACGGATATAATAATTAAATGGAAGAATCAAATGAATAGCCAGAAGGGCTAGACTATTGAAAAGAAACCTGCGATACAATAACCACAAGGGTTACTGTAAAATTATCTACGTTACAATCCCGAGCAACAAACCGTGTTTCGCAACACTAATTCACTAACACTGTGCAATAGGAAATTTTCAAAATCAAAAGCGAAGAGTGCTTTGTTATGTTTAAAACTTCCGAGAATAAACAGGCAACGTTATTAATCAATGCCTCATGTTTAAAAATACGCGACACGTCTAATTGCGACGCGTCCAATACAACTCTGCTGGCGGTTGCTGATGAATGACCACCTCTGTACAGCTTTTGTAGCTGTATGAGGTGATCCAGGAGCAGGAAAAACCTTCCACGAATTCAGTGGAAGAATTTGGGCATTTTGTAAACGCAACGCTACTTTAAGAAACGCGATCATTTATTATCACTAACACTAACACTAACATAAGAGGAAAATTAATTGGATCGCAACACTAAATCTAAAACCAAATTCAATCAAAATTATTATCATCAATACAGAAGTTACTGTATGAACAAAAAGCTACTTCAAACTTCTAATACACTAAAATCAATTAAAAACAATGACTCTGTCATTTCTACTTTGAGACAGGACAAAGCAAGATAAATTTTACTATGCATATCATTCAGACTAACTATAAAAATTCACAACCAAAATTGCTAAAGACAATCGCGATATCATAATTCACAACTCTGAAAAGCAAACACGATTACCATTTCTTCGCAACTCTAATTCAAACCGTAATTAATTTCTCGCAACACTAACAAGAAGACTCGCGATTTGCCCAGAACTGCGCGATGACGAACGATGATGAAGAAGAGAAAAAAAGATACAACTACAAATACTAAAGGAGCATAGTGACAATGTAGCAACGAGAATGA